GCAATTGGCAAGATTGCAAAAATCCTTTTGAAAAAACAATTGTGTTGTAGTGGATTGGATTTTCCTCCACTGAGAAATAAAAATAAAGTTTTTTTCAATTGTCTCATTTCAAAATAATTTAGCTGACTATAACAGTTTGTGAAACTTTTTTCCTCTTTTCTTTGGTATTACACTGTCATATAACTTTTTTATTTATTTATTTATTTATTTGCCATATGCCTTAAACAAATGGTGATGTTATTCCCAAAGGCATAATTTCCCCATAATTCACTTCCGTTAAGAAGCCTGCAAAGAAAACTTCATTACAGTTGTACATGAAACTCTGTAATCCACAGACTGGAACTTGGCTCAAATATGTTATCCTGATAAATAATTCAGATACTTCCATTTTCTGCAGTTTGCACATAAGTATTACTAATGTTATTCTATCAACCAGACATTCACCTACATGTTTGAGTACTGTTCAGTTTTAAAACATGTATTTTGAGCAAAATTATCTTTAGATTGCCAAGAAGCGTGACAGTAATGTTCAGGCTTGAAAAAGATCAGGATTCTATGGGGAAAACATTCTGAAAATTCCCACTGCAGGCAACAGAAGGTTATTTATTATTGTTCACTTATTATTTATTTCATTAAATTCATTATAGCTGCCCACTCCTACGTTCTCTGGGCAGCTTACAAAATCTAATACTAAAATAAAGCAATTAGAAATACAGAGAAGACAAAACAGTCTGACTCTTAAAACACAGCATGATGGGGAATCCTGTCACCATCAGCCCTGGGACCAAAGTCTGGTCTTAAGGGCTGTATCCTAAGTGAATGGGTACCATCCTTAACTTGGGAATGATGCTGTTCCAAAGGACAGGGGCCATGACAAAGAAGGCACATCTTACCTCCCATAAGATAACAATATTTAACAGGAGGGACCTAGAGCGCACCCATGCTGCCAGAACATACTGGGTGGGCAGAAACAGTGGAAGAGAGATAGCCAAACATTTTGTGTATTATTCTTTTGGAATAGAAATAGTCCAGAATTTCTTGTACAGAACCCAGAACCTTATAACAAGGTATGCACATTTCATTTAATTGATAAAAATCAAGTATATAAATTAAGTGTTGCTCTTTATTTGAACTGGGCTTTTATTTGACTGATAGCTAGCACAGATCAACAAGAGTCCATATTTTGAGGACACAATTCTTTGTGATGATGAGGAAGCAGAAATAATCTACTGTTGATTTGCTTAAAGTTGTTGTGTTTAAGCAGCAATAATGAGAAAGACAGAAATGTATTTTGGAGGAAACCAGATGGTCTCTCAAATCAAAGCACATTGAAGAAAATATTAGAATTCATACCAGTATGTATGGATTTCATAGAAGAAAATTCCTCCAGAAAAAAAAATACTTATATGGCGCATACATATATGCTTATTTGAGTTTCCAAAGCAAATGTATCTATTTTGTGTTAATTGCAGGGTGAAACTAACAGTTTTCAATCTTCTCCCCATTCTGGATCACAGCTCAAAACACTCTGGCAATCTAGTTGCATATAAGATATAAGACTGACATCAGGTAGACCCAGAAGTTATCATTTTATCTTTACAAGATAAACTTTTTGTATATTGTTTATATCATGTATTCCCCCTATATACCAAACAGAATATTTTTATAAAAGCTGTGTAAATCCACACATTTAAATCTTACGGAAAACATTATCAAAATTAATAACTTTATATTAAAAAATAATTCTTCTGGAAAAGATCCTCTGCTATGAAATAATAATAATCTTGCAACATGAGCTTTATTATTTTGAAATATACTGCACATTAGGAGTGCTTGCTGCAAAATATAAGGGAAAATATGGTTCTTTAAGAGTAATTGTAGTTCTTTCCCAACATTGTTTAAAATAAAATGTCAATACTAGACTGCCCTAAGGCACACAGAAAATAATACAAATCTGCTCAAGAAGCAATTTTTAGGATTTGGAATTGCACCTTCTCTTCATGAAGTAAACATTAAAAAGCTCATCAGTTGCCTTGCTACTGAACTATTTTGCTGAATGTTAAATACAGAAATTGTTCAATTACCACAGAAATTCAATGCGGTAATTTGTATTAGCTGAAATTAAAAAATAGGTGAGCTGAAATTGCCTATTAGGATGGAAGTTTTGAACTACAGCAACATGCTGGATTTTGCTAAATATCCCTTGTGGCCCAAGAGCTACAGAGACCAAAAAGAGCTATAGAAGTTTCTCCTGTGCCAACTTCTAGTTGAAGTCTCTCAGCTGTTGCCCACTTCTGAAACAAAGTTCTGTGATGCCACCAATTTCCTTCTATCCTATTCTGAAGTTGAACACATTTCAAGATGAGCACATTTCAAGCATTTTTATGAAACATGCAAGGGATTCTTTGTCCATTATTTTATGAATTATCTATAACCAAAAGCCATACCTTCCCAATCCAAAGTAAGGAAGATGGGAATTTCAGGATTTCAGTTTGATTATTCTTTTAAGTGCTAAAGTTTTCTTGAGTTACAGTTACTTGCTAACGTGAATAAAAACTTCTATTAACTCACCACTTGGGTATATGTATAAGAAAAAGGAAAAAGTGAAAGACTTCAGACATTCAAATTTAGGATCCCATTAAAAATATTCACGGGAGACTAAATTTAGCTCCGGGTTCATGAATTATATTTTATTTATTTATCAAAGACAAATGTGCCATTTATCATAAATAACTATTATTGTACTTCAAGAGCTATTCCTTCAGCAATTTAAAAATATCAATTTCCACTTTGCTTAACTATGCATAAGCTATATAATTTTCTGTACATCTCTTTATTACTGTAAATAACCAGTCACCCTATTGAGCATTTAACTGGGTTTCATTGAACACAACATTTAAAACCCAAAGATGTAAACTTTCATTTCCTTCCTATTCCAATTAATCAAACAACTGGCTATTAATCTACATAAAAGAAGACAATGATAGCTTAGCATGAATGTAATTTCTTTCAATCATTTTCTTTCTGCTTTTAAGTTAAGTGACAGGCCTTTTGTTACAAAGCCTGTAATATCTAGTATTGAGTTTTACCATTTGTAGGAACTTGCCTCAAGGCCATTTGTAAAGCATATGCACTGAAACCAACAATTTCCAATTATGTGAACAGCAACCTTTAAATTCTCAATTAAACAAATCTATATATGCATATAATGGAGCAAATAAACTGTCCCCACTTGTAAACATTTGCATTTTCTTACAAGTTTCTCAGAACTAATATTTCTGGGGAAAGCAGAATATTTATGAGATTACACAGTAGAACAGGGGTCTCCAACCTTGGCAACTTTAAGACTTGTGGACTTCAACTCCTAGAATTCCTCAGCCAGCTTTGCTTTGCTGGCTGAGGAATTCTGGGAGTTGAAGTCCACAAGTCTTAAAGTTGCCAAGGTTGAGGACCCCTGCAGTAGAACAAATCTGGTACTCTGTAAAACCTGAAAAGCATTAAACATTTTAAATTTATCTAATCTCATTATTTTATTTTATTTGCTAAATCGTTTAATACTGTATATACATATGACACTCTTTTAGATTTGATGTCCTTATAAACATCAAATCTAAATGAAAGTCTATGAGAGGTCCTAAATTATTATAGTCTGTTCTGATAATACATTCATTGTAACTTTCTAGAAATAAAACAGGAATCCAGTGGAATCAATAATTATAATACCCATCATACTGTCACTTTGACAATAACAGCTAGTTGTATTTAAAACAGTGAAAAAGAAAAAGAAAAAAGACTTCCAACATATTAATTCTAATATAATTATTAAAGAACCATTTTGTGATTCGCATCCAAAATTTCACATGCTGGAAAATGTGTTATGTAACTGAAGGTAACTGCACAGAACTAATTCACATAATGCAACATGAATCCAAAGATTTTTAAGGCCTAAATATCATAATTCTTGCATGATTCCTCAGGCTCCTTAGGAGTAAGAAGAGGACAAGGATACCCTGAAACAATATCTAATTTCAGTGTCCCATTCTTAATCAAACTTACTGAAATTGTCATGTTTATCCATAACTTATACTATGGCTTTAATAAGTTGAATCAAAGTATTGGCTTTGATACATGTGGAAGAATGACACTACTGAATATAACCCCCCAAAAAATTCTGTGTTTCCCAAAAACGATTAGGTTAAAAATGAAGACCTTACACTTTTTCCAAAATGTTGTCACTGATCTTATATTAGAAATAAAATATAGCAACATGTTACAGCAATAGCACTTAAATTTATATAGCGCCTCTTAGTGCTTTATAGCACTTTCTAGGTAGTTTACAATGTCAGCATATTGCCCCCAACAATCTGGATCCTTATTTTATCGACCTCGTAAGAATGCAAAGCTGAGTCAGCCTTGAGCCTATCAAGATCAAACTTCTGTATAGGCAAAGTTAGCCTGCAATACTGCATTCTAGCCACTATGCCAGTACACTTTTCTGAATCTGAGTAGTTGACTTTGGTTACATGTGCAGCTTTGCATTTGATTTCAGATTTTATCATCTTGAAACTATTTGCCAAAGTTGTTTTGTGATTGGAAAGCCGTAGCAAGCACATATTTGCAATACCTCATCTGTGCTACACTATATATAGCAAAAACATCCAAAGCCAGGTCCTCATATCCTATAATTTGCTACTATATATACACAGCTAAGATATTGACTAGTATGGGTTTACTAGACCATCACGAGGGGAAATTGGATGAATCAATATTCCAAACCTTAAAAACAAGCTGCTTTCATATTTGTTTCTGTTTTGTCTCTGGATTTGGTTGGGTGAAGGAAGATGCATCAAATTTTCATCTTAAAAAAAGATATTTTTCATATTTTTCCTGATCTTAATAGTAGATTTAAAGATTTCAATAAATAAGAATACTCAGAAAAAAACAGACTTTACTTTTTCTGTATGTTATTTACTAGATATATGTATTGAATTATAACTTACGATTGTTACAAGCATCTGACTGATTCGTGTTGGAAGAAGTATGATGGCGGGGTCCCGTCGATTTTGAGAGATCAGCAGTGCATGTTTGCTGACAAGAAATATCCATGTTGAAGTTGGCCTGATTTTCAGTTCTCCTTGGTAGCTCTGACTCTGTTAAATTTACACTATGCCCACAGTCTTGGTAAGCTAGAGAATTTGATCTGTTGAGGTGGTTTAATGACATCTGTACTAGGGTTTCTTTTATGATGGCTGAATTCTCACCACAAAAACTGTCCAAATGAAGAGGTCCCATTATCTGTACACAAAAAATACAAAAGGAAGTCTAAGCAGGCAAAATCTTCACCATTTCCTGCCACCATAAATCTCTGTCCTGTATCTTGAAATAATTAAGCAGCTTTGAACAAAAAAATAAAAATAAAAAAACCTCAACTTATTCATCTGTTGCCAAGATGAGAATCAAGAGTAGGGTAGCAAGTTCATGCAATGCACAATTTGTGGAAAAAATAATAATTTAACACTTAAACAAATTCACCTGATGAAGGAAGGGAGAGAGGAAGGGAGGGAAGAAGGGAGTGGAGGGGGCATGTTTTGGAATAGGATTTTTTTTTCTCCTCTTAAAAATATGTGCTATATTTTTCTCCAAGTGAGCACTAGAATAGACTGCTATCACTTGTCTATGTTTTGTCTGCTGTTTAAAAAGAAGCTAATTTTTAGATTATCCTGCTTCTCACATTATATAACCTGTAAATGACACCTGTAAATGATAAAGCACGATACTTAAATTATAGTCCATAAACTACAAAAACTCTAAAACAAAAATTTTTGCTATCTTCATTCCACTGGCTGACACTTCCTGACACTGGATAGATAGAGAAATCCTAATAATCTAAGTGGCACTCCTCACTTCCCACTGCATATTATAGAAAAGACCCCCAAAGGCCCATTCAGAGTGAGGACTTCATGCATTTCTCTATTGTATTGTACTCTAAATATAAGGTCGTTTTCCCTCCGTGGTACTCCACTGTCAACGGCTTCCTTCGCATCTTTTCAATTCCTAGATCTTCCTGATCATCCTGAATTATCTATCAGAATGGTACAATGGCTTTTCAGTGGTAATGCCTGAAGTTTGGTACTTCTAGTAAATAGTAGTATGAATGCCTGAAGCTTAAAGCAATCACCATAAATTATTAAGCTCATTCCAAATTATTATTCTCCCATCAATCTTTATCTCTTTTTTTCTCAGTAATATAAATAAGGTAGGGATTCAGATCTTATCTCAGCCATAAACTCAATGGGTTCTTTAATAGTCCTAAGTCTCATGTGTTAGCTCATCAAACTGGACTACCTCAGGTGGGGCTTGACGGAGATCAATCACCAAGTTCGGTAACGTTTGGAAATGCTGCATACCTCGTTGTTTCCCGATGAGATGACTGCTGGCAAATTGCTTTGATGGTTGTGTTTCCAGTGGTGCAGAATCTTTTGCTGCAACCTGACAGTTTCCCGTTCCTTTTCCACCATCCTTTGACTCTCTTGGAGTCTCTCTAGGTTCTGTTGGTAATCTTGCAACTGGCTATCCAGCTCTTCACGGTTTTGGCAAAGCAACTCTTCTTGGCTACAGCACTCTTTCTCTTTCTCCAGCAACCTGCTCTCTCTTGTCTCATGCACCTGTTGCTGCTGCTCACACTCACGGTGCCATCGTTGCTGCTCTTGCTGAAACTGCTGCTGGAGTTTATGAATATTTGCGAATTCCTCTTTTACGTTTCTGTGTTTTTCTTGTTCGAGAAAGAAAGTGCTCCGTGGGCTGTGGCTCAAGCTGCATCTTTCATGTTCCTGCAGAAGCAGCTTATTGATCTCAATGTGAGTGTCCTGGATAGTCAAGGCTGCCTTTTCATCAAAACAAAATGCAGCAACAATTTGTTTCAGTTATTCTATTCATTTTATAAAGTATCAAAACATTAAATGCATAATAGCCTTAAAAAGAAAATTCCACATGGAAGTCTAAGATAATGTTTGTTGTTTTATTCATTTAACATACTGTTTCCATTTTCAGATAATAACATGTGTTCATTTTCTGCACTAATTCTATGATTAACGTTATGGGTTTTGGCTCACTATACCTTACAATTTTACAAATTCTGGCTTATCTGGAAATAAAGATATTCTTAAATGAGACAGGAAGTGCTTTGAACAGGTCTCAATATATATATATATAAAAGTAAAACTGCAGTATAGCAGTTAAAATGTCAAGGTGTAATCAATCAGACCGGTCTGTCTGAAAAACTTCCTGTATATATATATATATAAGATCAGGATATATATATATATATATATATAAGATCAGGACATTAACATTTGGACAATCTAGTTAGAACTGTGAGAATTGTAGAGATTCTAGACATACAGCCCCATTCAGAGCCCCATTCAGCCCCAAACAGCCCCATTCAGAGCGACAAATAGAGAATGATTGTTAGTGGCTGCAGATGAGCTCTGAAAATGTTTTATTCCCCAAACCACAATTCAATAATGCCTATATTAGAACTGGGCCAAATTTCCAATCAACCAAATTTCTATATGATTGCCAGGAATAGCAAATGACTTGATGCCTAAGAATCAAACTTCCAACAGTGAAAAATCCTGGAAGTTTGCTCATTATCCCACCATTTCAGCCAACTTTAACAAAGGCGTCCTATAATTTGATTTTGCAGGTTTTGGGGATTCACAGTTATCTTTGATCATTCTTTCTGTTCACATGAGATGAATTTGCTTGGCTAGAATTTTTAAGTATGCTTAATTTTATAATCCTGAATTACATTTTATAGAATGTTTTCCTCTTTATAGTCTTATTGCATATTTTTATTTTCTTATAGACAATAAATACATGCATGATGTTTAATATCTATTCAGAATGTTCTGTAAACCAAGGCTTTTCAACCAGTGGTACGGGTACCACCTGTGGTACATTGGCACCTGACAGGTGGTATGCGACCATCCTAGAAAAGTGGTAGCGATGGAGGGGAATGAGCTGAACCGGTGACAGCACCGCACAAGCCTGAGCGAGAGATGGCTGGAGCTGCATGGCTGTCAGGGATCAACAGAAGCGCCAGGATCAGCGCTTCTTCAGGGCTGTCAGGGCTCAGCGGAAGCACAGGATCAGCGCCAGGCTCCAGCTGGAGCTCAGCACTGACCCTGGCGCCTCTGCTGAGCCCAGGAGAAGCGCTGATCAGCTGGAATGTTGCAGCATCTCCAGGGTCTTGTGATTTACATTCAGATGTTTGGCAACTGATTCATATTTATGACGGTCACAGTGTCCCAGGGTCATGTGAAGTGACCAAAACCTGCTGCAACCACCCAGCAGACAGGGGGAATAAAAACCAAACACCCCCCACCCCACCCCCGCTGCCAATCCTCAACAGAAATGCTCACAACAATGAAAACCTTGGACAGGAGGAAGAGCGCCGCTGGGTGGGCAGGCAAGTGTCTTGCTCGGCTGTGGCTTGGGGGGCACTTTTTTCAGTGCCATTGTAACTTCCAACAGTCACTAAGCGAACTGTTGTAAGTCGAGGACTACCTGTACTTCATCCCTTTTTTCCTCTTTTTTTTTTTGGTCATCAAGTTTTTGACACCTTGCTACTCGGTGGTACTCGGATATTGCCATATCCTAAAAGTGGTACAATGGGTGAAAAGGTTGAAAAACCCTGCTGTAAACACTCTTCAAGGAGAACCCACTAACTTCAGACTTTAGAATTGTAGTAGAGACAATTCAGGGGCCTGTCACCTCAGTCATGGTCAATCAATCATGTACTTTAGGATAAAATAGATGCTACATTTAAACTATATTAATGTTTTCCCCAAATGTGATATCCAAAAACAAAGACAGCACAAAAAGACAATCAATGCCAGTGCAGACTGTTTCTACTAAATACTAACTTCTAACTAATCCACTGTATAGTAGTTTGTAACCCTTTGTAGTTAACAAACTATTTTTTTCAAAGAATAGGATAATGTTCAGAGAAGATTTTTATAAAGAGGCCACTAAACTGTTAACAAAGCAGAGACATCACCCTGCCAACAAAAGTGTGTATTGTCAAGGCCATGGTTTTCCCAGTTGCAATGTATGGATGTGAAAGTTGGACCATAAGAAAGGATGAGCGACAAAGAATTGAGGCCTTTGAACTATGGTGCTGGAGAAGATTCCCTTGGACTGCAAGGCGTTCAAACCGGTCAGTCCTAGAAGAGATCAATCCCGACTGCTCTTTAGAAGGCCAGATTCTGAAGTTGAAACTCAAATACTTTGGCCACCTAATAAGAAGGAAGGATGGAGAAGAGAAGAGCCTAATGCTGGGAAAGATTGAGGGCAATAGAAGAAGGGGACGACAGAGAATGAGGTGGCTGGATGGAATCACTGAAACAATAAGCGTGAACTTAAATGGACTCCAGAAGATGGTAGAGGACAGGAAGACCTGGAGGAATGTTGTCCATGGGGTCGCGATGGGTCGGACACAACTTCGCAATTAACAACAACAAAAACTGTTAACAGTGCTTTGAAAATTGGAAAAGCTGTTTGAATGTACAATTTACAATTTACAAAAATCAATTAAATTCACAAAGCAATAATCACCTGAATGCTGTATAAGAGCCGTGTTAAATTCTGGATAGTCTGCACAACCTAAGGAAGAAAGGAAACATTGAGGATGAGATAGGAATTACAAAACATAATAAACGTAGAGTAGGGAATATTAATAGATCACTGTAAGAGAACCATCTTACCTCAGTTTGGGCAGAAGCAGGAAAGCAGGCATTTTCTTCCTACAAACATATAATTACATTAGACTATTTGTGGCACTGTACTGCCATCTTCTGGTCTGCCGAGGAAATTATTTTAAACTTTTGCAAATATGGTGTAGTACAGGGGTGTCAAACATCACCGGGAAACCGTGCCCACCCCATTCCTCCGATACATTGCACGACATCATGTGACATCGCGAGTTTGACATGTCTGGTGTAGTAGGTCATGCTCTTGATATTAAGCAGCTATTTAATGGCAGCTTTGAGGGGGAAAAGGCATAAAGACTAGATAAAGTGAAAGTACAGACAAAAACAGAGAATAGGAAAAAGATTAAATTCAATGCCTAGATAATGCAATGCAATGTGCATATGAATGTACAATACCTGGTCTAGTATATCCATTTCTGCTATACTGTTTTCATCATGCATATCAGAATTACAAGTTTCTTTCTCTACCTTCAGTTCTGTACCTAGAGATTAATGCCAACAGGAAAAATAAGACTTAGAATTGAACATTTAAATGCATGTCTCTCTTTAATTATTTTGGATTCGATATATTATTTCTAGCATTCCACTCACTTAGCTTTGTTTTTTTCCCTTTTATTTATTTATTTATTTATTTAATTTAATTTATATGCCGCCCTTCTCCCGGCGGGACTCAGGGCGGCGCACAACATATTTAAAACCAAAACATATATACAATCCCCCCCTTAAAACCGAATTAAACCGAATTTTAATGTTGTGTCTTCCAAATTCCTAAAAAGCCCAGTATAAAATCCACCCTAGGTCAGGTCCGCTTGCTGAAAGAGC